AAAAAAAAAAAGATTTTTTAGTATTAATTAATTATTAAGTGCTTTTTATATATTCTCCTTTAAACAAATAGAGCTACCTTACTTCTATAAATGATAAAAAGAAGCAATTTCTTCCATAAGGTGAGATATATGGAGATCTACTCAGATTTCCAATAAAATTTTTCTTGATACTTTTGGACAACCATATGGGGAGTAAAGATGTTAATTTAATTTGTGTCTAAAATATCATTATATCCTCTTTGCAGTTTCAACATTATTTAGTCTCCTTGGTTTCCTTGAGGTGACCCTTAGAGAGAACCAAAAACTTCAGATTCAGCTGCTTCTGTTCTTTTAATCTTTAATTAATCTATGTTAATTTCAGTTGTTAATTATATGTTCTTTTAACTATGAATCTTTGGACAGCTTTCACAGATCTTAAAATAATTAACCAGGTTATATCATGTCATGAACTACTATTTAATAGGCATAAGTTCTACTCTAACCATATTAATTAGTTGCAGATTTTTAATATCTTAATCAATCTTCATAATCAAATCCTTTAGGTATTTAGTTATAAGCATGCGAGTTTAAAATTGGTTAGAAATACTAAGTGGTTCAGACTAGTAAGACTTTCTCAAACCTTTTTTTTTTTTTTTGAAAAGAAGTACTTACTCAAACTTGATTTGTGAGTGGTTGTATACCACAAATAAGTTAATCCTTAATTGACTTTTACAAGTAATTTAAGGTTTACTGAACTTTACTGATCACAGTCAAATGGATCAGTTAGATTATTGTCTTTTCCTTAATTAAGTTTTATAATGACAGTGATTGATCTAATGATTCAACCATCATTTATACGATAAAATTGGTCGTACAAGCATTTCAACAGTGTTTAATTATCGGTTTTAATCGATTCTTTTCTTTGCTTGCTTCCAAGTAATACTGCAGCTAGCCTCTAAAGAAGTTACAGTAAAGATTGTTGTGAATATATTTTTCCTCCTTGATTAGTTCTATCATTAGTTTACTTTTTGATGGATAATATTAGTGAACTTATGTACATATATATATTATAAAGATGTATGTGTGTCGTGAGATGAATTTATTCTTCACTTTGAATCTAAATAAATGCAATTCTCTAGGTTCCATGTTGGAGAAAGTAAATGCTTGCCTTGTGCCCAATGAAACCCACTTTAATCAACATTAATTTTATAGCTAATCCTCTTTTTAGTGCTTCATTATCTTTAAAGAATTGCATTATATTCCTTTTAAGCACTTTAGTTTTTATAGTTTTAGAATATGCTTTAATAATCCAAAAAAATATGCTTTGTTAATCAAACTATCATTTTTTTTTCAACTCATAATTTTATAAGAATTTCAACAAAATGTGTAGAGGTTATATGTTAACATTTCATAATATATATTACATGTATTTTCTTTTTTAAGAATTGGCAGGAATTCCATTTCCATTAACTCCCAAAAACCCTGTTAATGGGTGTATACATCTACTAATTGTTTACATTTCAAATGAGGAAAAAAAATGATATTTACAATTACAAGTAAATTAATTTCTTTACATTAAAGTCTCAAATTCTTCATAAGCTTAGTAAAGTCATGACTCACGGTTGAATGTCTCTAGAGAAATAATAGATCCAATCAACAAGAACGTAAGTTTGGGGAAAATAACATGATTTTACAAAGGAAATGGAAAAAACAGAAGAGTGATCAGGCACTCGAGGTTATTAATTAGTTTTAATTAATCAAAATCTCTCCATGATTATAATTTCTCATTCTATTTAACTTCTAATCCTGTTTTATATATAGATTACAGAGTGCCCTTTTTTTGTTCTTCAACCTATATCAAATTGTAAATATATATATATATTAAGTAGGGTACAACTTCAATATTAAAAAAATTTATCTCTCATTTAAATTATATAATTTAAATTGTATAATACTTTTTATCATATAAATGAAAATATTGGGACAGAACCAAAAACAATGAAAATAGATTGGGTCAATAAGAAACTTGAATAACAATAATTAGGTGGAGAATAATTAATTTAACTAACTAATTAAAGTTCTTAGCTTTACCAAACAGCCGATGATCACGACCAAGTCATAATTGTGCATTATATAATATAATATCAGATTAGCTTAAACCATTTGATTCCAAGCTGTCACCTTTCTAACCTAGATTAGAATAAATCAAAGAGCTGTTGAATTATATATTTTTTTTCCTCACAATTAGAAAACAATATCAAACATTGTTTTACACTAAACAATGACTAATTAAGACCACAACAACAACGATTACGACAATGTTATCGCTGATGATTCTTCTGCTTTCTTCTCTCTCTCTCTCGTACTTGATTGATTGATTAATCCTTTTTATTAATCCTACCTTCCTGTGTTGATGATGTTTTAAAAATGTGAAAACAGTAATTAGTGACATCTTAACAGTGATTATGTAGATCTAAACTCTATATTATATACATCATGAAGCGATGCTTTCCTAAGATCTTATGTGCGAAAAGGCAATAATTAAGCTTCAAAACATTTCATGATTATCATTGACTAAAAAGCAATTATGCAAACCATTTGAGTTAGGGATAATTAAACTAATTAATCTAAAACTTCGAGACTAAGTTGATGGAATTGCCCGTTGATCAAGAAGAAAATCAAGTTTAGCTCCTTAAGTGGATATGGATTGATTTGGGCTAGCCCAGTCATGAACTGAACAGGGAACTTTTGTTCCTTATATGTGTGAAACGAACTCAGTAAACCCTAGCCCATCTTATACATATACTTAATCTGGCCTACCAAATGTCTCATATATTAAGTTCAAAAAAGCAAAAATTGAACATGATAGAGATTGAAAATGTCTCCATAAATATGATAAAGAAAGGTTGGTAAATTTCTTGACATTAACATAACAACATTTACAAGAAAAGGTGCCGAATTGAGAGATTGATGTAGTCAATCCCAACCAATTCTAAATAAACGAAAAAAAATGTGGTTAATAGTGTATTTTCAGAGACTGGTTAACAATGCTTTGATCAATTCACCAAAAAATATATACATATAATAATAATAATAATAATAACAACTTTCCTTTATGAATGAATTCTTTTTTTACGATTCGAACTGAAAAATAAAAATTATTCAATGGCGTAACACTCCAGTAATATTAGAAGTCCGCTCCATCCACTAGTCTTCCTTTTTGGTTATCAAATAGACTTTCCTGTCAAGTAAAGAGAGAGACACCTCTGTTTTTACAGGGAGCAGAACATAACAGAGCCCTGAATCAGGGGAAAATGCAAATCTAAAGCAATGAAGAAGGAAGAAGTTATGTAATATAAATGTATTATATATTGTATGTTTGGGTAAGTGTTACAAAAGATTAAGAGTACAATGGTGGTTGAAGAATTCATGAAATCAGCAGAAGTAATTTCTTGCTTCTAACAATCCTGAGCATAGAAGTCAATAATCTCCTCGAGATTAAGCTGAAACAGAGAGGAACAATCATTGTACATCAACCAGAGCAGGTGTTCAAACAATATAGCATCCACGTCTACAAAAATCACCCTATTCTTCTTCTTCTTCTCCTCCTCCTCCCCATTTGTCCCAGCATCCTTCTTCATCGAATCGATCAAAACCCTGAACGGACTCTCTTCTAACACAAAAGGGTCAACCAGAAACTCCCTCTTTTCCTTCCCAACCACTACGGTCACCGGCCTGTCCAACTCCTCCGTCAGAGGTCGGTAGCCTAACCGTGAACCCGAGGATCGCCTTCTGAAGATTGAAACAGGCAAGACCAAGCAATCCATTGAATTTTCTTTCTTTCTTTTTTTACTTTCTCCAAACCTAAAGAGAAGACTAAAGATGGATAAACTTTGTTTATGACTTGTGAAAAAGTGAAAAACAAGGGTTTATATAAGAAAAAAGAAGGGAGTTTCAGAGTTTGGGAGGTGAGGGGGGGTTTGACGAAGGTGAAGTTGAATAGGCCAACACAACGGCCAGAGAGAGAAGGGAGTAATAATTAGAAGAAAGCAAAGAGGATTGGACTCAAGTTAACAATGGTTGGCTCTTGTTTTGTTGTCGGTGAAAATAATAAGACTTGGATGACAGAAAGAGCCGTTAGGAGGGGATTGTGTGTGTTCTTGAAGCATCTTTCCTGAGGGTAGGAATTCGATTATGACTACTACTACCCCAGCTCTGGCGAAATGGGCAGAGCAGGTACACGCTCCTCTACTTTCCTTTATCTTTTTCCATTTTTTTAAAAAATAAATAAATTTGTATACCTAATTCATTTATTAAGGTCTCAGGTATTTTTATATAGATTCTTTTAAAATATATAATAAACATATTTTTTAATTATAAATTTATGTTAAAAAATAAAAATTAATTATTAATTTATTAATTATTTAATTAAATTTATCTAATTAGATAGTATGAAAACTGTTGTTAAATTTTATATTTATATATATATATATATGGGTTAATACCAATTGTCATCCCTCTATTATAAAAAAAAAATTCGATTTAAACATTTTACTTTTAATTCACCTTATGTCCTTCCTCTACTATTAATTAACTACACATCTCCTCCCCTACCATTGAAAAGGTATCAATGTTGTCCCTATGGACAAGTTCTCTCCAATTTTGAGGTAATGGACAGTTTACCTGACTGTTAACGTTCTTTTTCCTTTTTTTTTTTTTACAATTGGACTTTGGTGGGACCCACAACAATTAAATATTAATAAGTTATTTGGATTATTTTTTAAAAAGGAATTAATAATTAATATTTGATGATTGATAAT